TTTACAATTCATGTCATATCAATGGATAATCCATTGGGTAAAACATATAAGAAGTGCTAGTGGTGGTGGAAAATTTCACTCTTATAAAACATCAAACATTGGTTATCAAATCTTTTTTGTTAGCAAGCAAAAGTACACTACTATTGCTTAAGCTAGTTAATATTTTTCAATATTTATCTATTTCTACTTCGTTGTGTTTTATTATTTTTATATGTGTATATATATACATAAATATTTATATTTATATATATATATATATATATGTTTGAGATTGTTTAACATGTGGTATCAGAACTAGAACAATCTCTGCATAGTAATTTTGATGTATGATTTTAAAATTGTGTATTTATAATTTTTTGTATATTTCTAAAAATATTATTTTTTGTATATTTCTAAAAATATTATTTTAGAAATTATTTAGAGAATAATGAACCATATGCATTTTGATATATACTTTTGTGGAATTTCAAAATTGTTTAAATCCTTTATGATATATGTTCGTGAGTATTTGGTTTGTTAAAAACAAATAGATTTTTGTTTATATGCTTGAAGCATGATATTGCTATTTAATCAAATTAGTGTGCCTACTGTCATGTGCCAAACTTTAGTTGAATCTCGTGCGGCTCATGACACCTATCCCATGCTTGAACCATTTAGGCTATTTAAGCTCTATGTATTAAAAGATTTTTGAGTTTGTTTGCTTAAATTGTTGGGCTTTCATTATTAATTCGGCTTTTATAATTTTATGATAAATTGGGCTATTTGTTTTTGTTTTCTTAGTATATGGAATAAATAGATTTTGGACTTATTCTATTTACGTGATTTGTTTGGACTTATTAGTTGTTAAGTTGAATGGAATATAATGTGTCTAAAGTTTTGGACCAATAAAATTAGAAAAGATAAAACTCATTTGAAACAAACTAATATTGGATCTACTTGTGTTCTCTAGATCTATTTAGTTTGACTGTTTTGGTCATGGAAAGAGTTTAATTAGACCAAATTATGTTCATTTAAGTTTTGATCAAGACATTATCTGTATAATAAATTAATTAATATGTAATTTATGTTATACTTGATTTATGTATGTCTTGATTATTATTGTGATGTCATCTGATAGTATATACGTGAATAATTAAGATTATCCATAGCCTCTTAATTGTGATAAGATATACATTAAGTAAATTTTATAATATTTTATTTTGATCACATCAAGTTTAAATGACATCAATTTTCTTATTAAGCATGTTAGTATAAGTACTTTTACCCCATAGGAAAACTATTATATTTTTTATGATTAATTAGGATGAAATTGAAATTATTTTTAGTTCGTAATTAGCCCACAAGTATTAGAAAATATTAATAATTTTTAATTTCATCATATAAGTTATGAATCACTTTGTGTTATATTCTTTACCCGCAAGTAGATTTTGATAATATGTCAATTCATATATACTTTTTATTTGTCTTACGATGGTGAGATTAGCTTTATATTTGATGGTTTGTGCCTCATATATTATTAAGCTGTTATGAATATATGTGAATATCCATTATATTTTCTAATATCCAATATATCTCCCATATCTAATGTACATATTTATGTTGGTGCATCCCTATCTTCTGATTTCATTTAGTGTATATACATTCCTATCTACTAAGTTCATCCCCTCTATTTATGTAAATTCATTTTCCCTCCATCTATATGTGCCTGTGGATGGTTGTATACTGAAACAAGAAATAAAATAAAAGATCTTCTTACATTCTTACTACTTCTCTCTAATATTCTCTTTCAAAATTATATTTCACAACACGTTATTAACACAAGGCTCTAACAAACTGAAAATGGTATTTTTTTTTAATTCTTCAATCATTTATATTTTAATTTTGTATACCGTCCAACCAACTTGAAGTTGCCAACGGAACTTGAGCCTCTTTACGTCCCTTAAAGCGGTGGTGGGTCTTTGAGAATCCCAATAGTTGACACCTGAAGTTGTCAATACAAATGCAAATGGGAATCATCGAGAAAAAAAAAAAGATGTCCTATTTTGTTTTTCATGAAGACATGTACTGCACAAGTGTTCATTCTCAGGAAACTTAGGTAAATCAGTAACATAATTCATAGCTTCCATTCTCTTTAATGAAGGATAGTTGACATGGCCAAGTCTACGGTGCCACAACTTAGCATCATTAGAAACACATAAGTAAGCTTGATATTTAACTTCCATCCAATTTAATGGGAAACATTTGTTTCTCATCCCAGCGGTAAATAAATCATTTTCAGATGAATCAAAGACAGAGCAGGCCTTGTCTTTGAATAATAAAATAAATCCTTCTTCAGTTAACTAACCTATGCTCAATAAATATTTTTAGCATCTAACACAAAATGAACATTAAGAATAGACTTAATACCTGTAGCTGTTTCAACACTTATTGTTCCCTTTTCACAAATCTTTAGTAAATCACCATTCCCTATCTGCATAATTGACTTATAGTTTTTGTTTAGAGCCAAAAATTGAGATTCATCTCTAATTATGTGGTTGGAACAAGCACTATCGATAAGCCATGTTTCTTTCTTAATGGAGTTTTTTGGATTCCTTGCCATGAAAAGAAATTCTTCCACTCCATCTTTTTGCTCTGATATAGCAGCATTTTCTCCAGCTTTTGCACCTTTGTTCTTACACACTTTTTCAACATGACCTTATTGATTACAGTTAAGGCACTTCACATTGGGTCTGAATTAGCAAAATTTTTTTACGTGATTTCTCTTTTTACAGTAACTACAGGGAGGAAATTTCCCTTTCTCCTTACCTTGATTCTTGTCACCGTTTTTCTTTCCTTTATCCTTCTTTTCACTATCAGTTCTTTTGTAGTTATCACCATTTCTTCTATCCTTGACTCAAGCTATCAATGCCTCCCCTATATGGTTATCTTGCCTTAAAGCTCTTCTGTGTTATTGAGCTTGTAAGGCATTAACTAGCTCGATTAAAGACAGTGTTGATATGTTCTTAGAGTCCTCCAAAGAAGAAATTTTCTATTCAAACTTCTCTAGTAAACTCATAAAAACTTTGTTAATGATTCTTTTCACTAAGAAGCCTCAACTGGTTCACAACCTTCAAGAGTTTATTTGAAAATTCTTTAATGGTTTCCTCATCTTTCATTTTCAAACCTTCAAAAACCCTCAAAAAATTCAATACCTATATCTATTTGGTCCTATCACTATCATGGAACTCTTCTTTCAGCTTGTCCCATGCCTCTTTAGGTGCTTCATAAGTCATGATCTTTGTGATGATTGAATCTATCACAGCATAATGTATACACGACAGAGCTTTAAATAACTTAGCCACCTCTTCACTATGCTATTTAAGTTAAGCCATAATGGGGTTGACATAGCGCATAACCGATGGTTCTCCTCCAACTTCAACCACTTCCCACAGGTCAAAAATCTTTAGGTTAGTTTTCATGTTCACAGCCTATATAAGATAGTTTTCCTAATTAAAAACTGGTAGAGCGGTGGCATTATAAGTTGAAGAAGCCATACTTTGTAGCTTTTTGTTTGCAGGTGAGAAAAAAACAAAATGATGAAGGAATAAAGAGGAAAAAGGTTGATTTTTCTGGAAATTAAGACTCAATGCAATCCTCTAAGAACTCTTTTCAAGCTCTGATACCAAGAAAAGATTCATAAAAAGTATAAAGAAAGTTGTAGGTCAGATCTTGCTCAAGAAAGAAGGCTCATCTATTACCAATAAAAGAGACTCAACAAAGGAAATGAAGAAGGTTTTCTTGTATTAACCCTTGAAGTCCCATGTCAACTTACAATATAAAAGCAACAGACAAAATATTAAAAATAAGGAAAAGCAACTTAAAAAAGGTGCTGCACCATTAAGGTTGTCAGTTGTCCTTTGCTACAATTATGCAAAAGCTAACACGTTGCCCGACTAAAATGTAAAATAGCAAAAAAAGCTAAAATAACCAAAAGGTCTTTTAAATAACTATGTAAGTAGCAGATGAGGTCTTCTTTTTCAATCCCAATTTGATATCTTTGCTCCAAGTAGAGTATTGAACCAAATACTAACCCTCAACATAAATAACGCTTTCGAAAGGTTATTATGAACTATCATTTTGTCTCCATTTTGGTAAGCCTCTAAATAAGATCCCTATATCCTAACTTTCTTTCTTGTTCAATCATCTAAGATTGTCGAATTAGGAGTCTTTTGGAGAGAGCACTCAATCATAGATTAAGGTTTAAATAATTTGTGTAACTTGAAATTAGTAATAATTTGTTTTGGAATTATTTTAGACTTTAACTTATATATTGTCTAAACCAACGAGAAAAGCACAATTAGAGAAAATCCATCCTCTATAAGAAATACTCAACTAGAGAAAATAACCCAATATCATTATACTGTTATTAAAATATATTTTTTTTCACATAAAAATTTCATATCTCAATCAAACAAGTTCTCCGTTTAAAAAGTTTTAACATTTTAAAAAGCTAAAAGCCAACACCAATCCCATCTATACAAACTTCCAATATATATAATATGCCATGCTCGTGTATCAAGCAACAAATTGAACCGATCTCTACAAATTGTTTTTGTCAATTACCTAATCAAGAATATAACAACATATTAACCTTGTACCAAAATTAACTAAGCCCATAGATATCCATTAATTAGGTGAAACATCTATCTATATCCGATCACAACTACAACAGGTTTAATTATTTGTTACCAAGAAATAAAACGGCTTCGGGTCCAAAACATGCTTGATGGTAGCATCTTTCACTCCATTCTTAATGCGAACAGAGCCTTCCATCAATCAAGAAATTGATTGTTTGTACGTAAGAAAGAATATTAACAATAATAATCAGATGATTGATTAGTGTTTGCACATATAAAAGCATAGACAAAGAATACAAAGGGTTTGACTTCTTCTCCACTCGCACATGGCAAGCATTCAATCTATGTGCAAAATTTTCAAAACTCACATGGCATGTAGACAAATTGAACATGAAAACTGCATAATATTTTGCATTGAATTCAAAAGAGTGACAACACAAGTACTTCAAACGATTACGTTTTATTTTGTTATAGAAAGGAAAACTCTTAAGTGAACTTAAAGCAGGACTTGGAAGACCTAAAGGAAATTACACCACAAACGCAAAGCCTCATCAACACCTAAGCAATTAGGAATGGCAGAACGGTCAGCATGAAAGCTTCATATGTAAACGTCGCATTACCACTGTACATAGTGTCCTTCTCCTTGAATTTCTCAGTTAGTCCCTACGCACCAAAAAAGAAACCCATGATTCAAATTCAACTGCCATTAACCAAAACCATAGTCTCAAGTTAAAAGTAGAGAGGAAATAGAAAGAAAGCTTACTTTAACAGTAAGGCAGCACCTGCATCATAAAGAATTAGAGAGAAGAAAACAGATTAGTTGACATTATAGACATAAAAAAAATGAAATGCTGCATAATAATTTATATGTGAAACATATCATATACAGAAACCATACTCAATGAAGTTGTCATATTCAATGGCCTTGCTCTTGCCTCCAGTTTTATCAAACTTGGATACAAGCAAATCCAATACAACAGGAGAGACTGCAAATCCTAGACTCAGGAGTGCCTCTCTCAATTCATTGGCATCGACTTTACCACTCCTGTCCCTATCGAATTTCTCAAAATTGGCCTGCGACAAACCCAATTTTTTAGTCGAATAAACCCATACGTCGATTCAAGCAAAAAGAAAAAAAAAAAGTTTGCTCATGGAAATTACCCTCCAATTCTGAAGACTGTAGAACACTGCAGTGAACTCTTTAGGACCTGCATTATAAATTTAAAAAATAAAATTAGAGATGCATAAATCATATTGCTTAAGAAAATTTGAAAAATAAATACTGATAAAATTGTTATTATTCCACATAAAACTCGTGAACAATCGGACAATAAATACCATTACTCAATTTGAAATGATGCGCGTGACGTGAAATCACCCACCCCACTGCATAATATATTTGAGTCGGCAAGGAAAAGTAGGAGGTGGTTCAACAATTCCAACATCAAGAGAGGAAAATTAATGAACTTATTTCTGAAAAAATTAAAAAAAGTCCACGAAAGCCTAATTACGGATATGCTCCTGCAAGCACATCATCTTTAAAGACAACGCGGATCCCAAAATATATTTCTATAGGACCCACACCACGCGCCCCACTTTATCATGACACCACTCAGTAAGAGTTATTTAAGTCATTTCGCTGCGTGGCCCCGAAGCCGCCTGCTACTATGCCACGACGCAATCACCGGCGCGTACCCTTACATAGGCAAGGACCCATTCGAATACCGGCCTAAGTTAGAAGTGAGGCACTTACCCAGTGCACGTTAGACGCTACCACTATGTTTCCCGTGGTGAAAAGTTTTCTTGACAGAGAAGGAATTTCACAGTAACGCTATAAACGAATTAATTAATTGAATAAAAAACCTAATACTGGAATTGACTTTGAACTTGCTTTTAACTAAAGATTAAATGTCTGTATATGTATCTTAACCTACGCTACACCTACATTTCAATCTTAGTTTTCCTTTTTTATTACTATTATGAGAACAATTTACAACAATAATGCCAAACCTGGAGATTTTCATCTCACAATTTTGAAATTTTATTTTTATCTTAATTTTTCAATCAATAGAAAATTAACGTGATAATTCAATTGCAATTACGGCCGAAAAGCAGTGAAATTAATGGTTAATTAAAATAATTAAATAAAAAGGTAGGAATAAAAGAAACTGACCGATCTTTCTGGAATTGGAATTAGTGAAGAGATACATGAGCAAATGAACAGTTCTCAAACTGAAGCTTTGGTTATATGAAGAAAGCGCACTTTGCAACTCCTTATCATCAATAAACCCACTCCCATCTTGATCGGCCATTTGAAAGCAAGCCACGACATTAGGATCTGTCCCTGGCGGAAACGCCGACGGTACCAGAGCCGCAAAAGGGCTTGAGTAACCTCCTACAGGAGGATAGCTTCCACCGTGAACTGGAGGAGCGCCTCCGACACCGTGTGCCTGAGGCTTGTCCTTTGGCGGCTTCTCCCCAGGAGGGGCACCATAGGGAGCAGAAGGTGCGCCGTACGGTGCAGCGGCGTATGGGGTCCCGTAGGGTTGAGGCGGTGGCGGGGCGCCGGCAGTGTATGGAGGAGCGGCTGAGTAGGGCTGAGCGGGAGGGGCGCCGTAGCCGTAGCCGGGAGGGTGTTGGGGGTATCCACCGGACATGTTTAGAACAATTTTCTGGTACGAATGAGTTTCTGCTTGATTTTTTGCGTTGTTTGTTCTAAGTTTAGTTCAAGAATATTTATAGAGTTAAAGTTTGTCAAAGCACTTGTGATTTTGAACATTATTACAGGATTGCCATTGTTTGGTTATGCTGTTAAGTTTCGAAAAAAGTAGTGAGAACTTTGTACATTAAATAGTTCCACCGCGTGGATTCAATGTTTGGTAAAAAGTCTGGGGGCCAATTGTAGTGGGCGATGATTCATCGTTGACTAAAGAAGGTTTCATGGACGAAAATGCATTCAAATTAGATCAGGAAAATGATTTCAAAAATTCAAATCATTTTTCTCTTTTAAAGTCAAAAAAATCATGTAATCAACTAAAAATGAATAAGAAAATCCAAAATTAAGGAGAGAGAGCCAATTTCCAAGGCTAAACTCTTGCTCCCTTGCACCTCAACCCACCCGTGACTCTCACATCAATAAAAAAGGATTCGATGGGTTTTGTTTGAGTTGCTTTTAAATCATGAAAATTGGTTCTAAATGACTATAAAAAAATGAATAATTCAATTAGCATGAAAGTATTTTTTGATAATGAGAAATTGGTGAGCTTTATTATGATTTGAAAGACTAAATGTTTAATTTGAGATCAAAATTTTTGAGTTTTGGTCAATTTAAGATCAAACGTTTTAATTGTAACAATTAAGGGTATTTTCATTTTTGGTTACTTACAATTAAGGGTTAAAGTCAAAAGTATTTAACGCGTGTAAGGCATGCGTATGATGTGGATGTTGACTTATCACACAAGATATGAAAAGGTAATTTTGTTGAAAAAAAAATTTTTATCAAGTCAAAACAATTCAAATTATGACAAGGCATGTACAATTTTTTTATGATGATGTGTAACAATTAAATTTTTCAACATAATATGTAACAACTAAATCTTCAACATTGCATATAACAATTACATTTTTCATCATGATGTATAACAACTAAATTTTTCAACATAGCATATAATAACTAAAACTTCAACATGACATTTAATAATTACATTTTTCATCATGATGTTTAACAATTAAATTTTTCAATATCACATGTAACAACTAAATTTTCAACATGGTGTATAACAATTACATTTTTTAACATGGCATGTAACAATTAAATTTTTAATATATAATAACTAAATTTTAAACATGACATATAACAATCATATTTTTCAATATGTCGTATAACAACCAAATTTTCAACATAACATATAACAACCAAATCTTCAACATGGCATGTAAGAACTAAATTTTCAACACGACATGTAACAAAAAAAAATTTCAACATGGCATATAACAACTAAATTTTCAACATGACAAGCAATAATTATATTTTTAACATGACGTGTAATAACTAAATTTTATAATATGACATGTAACACTACATTTTTCAACATGGCGCTAACAAAGTTTTTTTCACAAAAAGTAATAATAACATTTCCAAACATGCCATGTTATCAGCTAACTCAATTTTCTATCGCGTATGATCTACACTACATTCACTTGTCAACTAAGCTTTTAATTGTAAGAAATCGAAACGTTTGACCCTTAATTGTTACAATTGAAATATTTGACCACTAATTAAAAAGTGTCCAAATGTTTAGCCTTAATTTGAATATTTAGCCTGATTTGAAATAATTTATAAGTTTTCTTCAATATTAAAAATTTATAAAAAAAAGATCCCTTCAGGACCTCTGATAAAATTGGAACAATCTATAGAGAAATTAGCATGATCCGTGCGCAAAATGACACACAAATTGAGAAATGATCCAAAAATTTGTAAAAAATAATTGATGATAATCTTAAGAAAAGAGAAATATATTTTTCATAATATCAATTTCACAACAAAAAAAATGTTTTCAAGTGCGACATCTAAAGACAAAAAATATTAGATTTTCAAAGGAAAAAACACTTTCACAAAAAAATTTTAAAAAATCTATTCCTGTTAAACAAACAAAGACATCATATAAGAATTACTATATTTCTTTATCTTTTTTTTTCAATTTTATAAGATTTTTATGCAATTACCTAATCAGAACTTTTTAAATGGGACTGTTATTAAATGAGGTTATTACATATGTAAGGTAATCCATATTAGGCTGATACGACAAGGTGGTTCCTTCCTAATTAATTTTAGTTTAATAGTTTTTATCGAACTGTCTTTCTGTTTGGATTTCCTTTATATATGTATATAAATAATAATATTATCATTTTTAATTAAGAACTAAGATATTTAATTTAATTAAATACTCTATTAATTATAGATCTTTACAAATTAACCATTAAGCATTCTTTTATATGGAAATTATTAAAACATTTTATAGAAGTAGAGAATCAAAAATAGGAATAGGAATCTTAACATAATGAGATAGCTTAATAAATTATATATATCACTACCTAATGATTTTCTTGTATTATGTGATAATACTTTTTCGAAAACAGGGTTCACTATAAGAATAATCAAAAGCTATTTCAACAATTCATAATTCACTTTGAAAAAAAAATTCTCATTGATGATGTCAATAAGTTAATGATAAAAATAAAATTAAACACTAGGTGTGTTGTTGAATTAAATAGATATTTGTTTGTTTTCATTTATTTATATGAAGATGATGACTGATTTATTTTAATCTATGATATTAAGATAATTTTTTGTCGTCTCTAATAATAGTTCAAGTGGTTCATAAAATATGGGAAAAGATAGCACATGTCAAGAGAAGAGAGGAGAAATGCAATGCAAAGACTTATGTTACTAACGTCAAAGACTATAAAAAAATATCTAGATCATGATCACAATTGAAATTAGATGTTTTTATTAACAATGAATGAAGAATTGATAAATAACAAAATTGATCTTAAAAAGCAATGGTATTAATTATTTTCATGCAAAGAAAGAGAGTGATATTAATTATTTTCGTCAAACTCCTTGACAAAGTGTAAAGAGGGAATTCCAAAAAATAGCAAATTTCATAATTTCAATTGAAAAATTGCCTTCAATATAAAGTTAACTGTTTTTTACCAATTTTTGTCATTTACTTAACAAAAATATCCTTAAAACTATTTTAAATAAATTAAATAGTTTGGATTTGTTTCTCCAACTATGCAAACAAATAAAATGCTATGTAACAAATGCCATCTAGATCTCTCCACTCTTTCAACTCTTTCAACTCTCTCTCGCTATCCAACTCTCTCAACTCTCTCTTACCATCCATCTTTCTCAGCTTTCTCTTGCCATCCAGCTCTCTCTAATTTTACTAGCAAAAAGCATAAATGACATCAAGATATATTCTTGGGTTTATTGATTTACATTTACAATAAGTTAATGGCTTGAAGTTATAAATGAATTATATCAATTAGAACACTACCCAAAGTTGTTAATGCCATGTTTACATGTAACAACTGCAATTCGCATTGACGTGTAACAAATCTATTGAACATGGTATGGTGTGTAACAACATATTTTTGTGCATGATGTGTAGTAACATTTTTTTGAATATGACATGTAGCAACACTATAAACATGGCATGTAACAAAATTTTCAAACATGGCGTGTAGCAATTTTTTTTTGAAAATGGCATATAGCAAAATTATTTTGAATATGGTGTGTAATAATATTTTTTTCAAAATGGCATGTAGTAAAATTTTTTTGAACATGATGTGTAACAACAATATTGTTTCAACATAGCATATAACAACTGTTTTTTTTTTAATTATGGTGTATAACAATATTTTTTTAACATGATATGTAGTAAAATTTTAGAACATCACATGTAACAACTTTTTGATAAATTGATTTTAACACTTATTTTTGTTACATTTCAGCGACGTGCCATATATGCAACTTGTGATTACACACGATGGTTATTGGGTCGACGACATTTACTAAGGTGATCAGCCATAAATACGATGAGTTAGGAATAAAGATATTGAAATGTTACACTTATTTTACAAAGGTTGTTTGCTGGCCTGCTAAAGCTAGTTGAAAATGTAGTCAGAGTAAATTCATAGAATCACAAAATCAAGCTACATTCATTGATCAGTATACCTGGAGGGCTATCACACCTAACTATCAGAGACAACAAAGATGTTGCGTTCATTCTGCTAGAGGAATAGATAGTTCTGACAATGTACAACACTATTAAGGAACGACATACAAATGTCATACCACACCTTAATCAGATGTATTCTACTTCACAAATACCACACCATTTAGTTCGTAACCCACAACAATGGCAATCACCATCGACGTATGCACATGAGTTTGTCCAGCGCGGTACATAGATGCCGTTCGTACAATAATTGGCTGTATAATTTCAATGAGCATGTGCATTAAACCAATTACTTGGTTTTGTCCAACTAATGCAACACTCAAATAAAACTACAATGGGTTTAATGCAATTTTCAAACAACACTGTGAAGCTTGACGATGACGCTACATCTGTTTAGTGCGAAAACAATTGCTTTAAAGATGATTTTGATGGCAGGCATAATGACTATTTAGAGAACAACTATGATAATGACAATGTTACTTCAAATTACAATCATGTTGAAGTCGGTACAGAACATGTCAAAGATGTTTAATGCGATAACTCCATTTACAATAATCCCATCTTTAGTGACAACGGGATTATTTGCCCGATACATTCACCAATAACAATGTTGACAAAAGAGTAAATATAGGGATATCTCGTCTATACCATATTCCAAGTGCAAATATGTTCTCTTTTCAAATAATTACCACCGAGGAGTCCACATCAATCAATGACTGCCTATATCAAGGAAAAATATTTTCCTTTAAAGTTGAATTGAAATGAGCTTTAAACATGTTGGCATTAAAATATCAGTTTAAGATAAAAGTTAAAAGGTCATGTTGCGCTCGTTTTGAGGTTGTTTTTAAGGACAAGGCATGCAATCAAGCTACTCATGTGTACTATTGATGATTTGCAAAGTCAATTTCGGTGGTGATTGTTTGAAAAGGTACACACGTGTACTATTGATAGTTTACAAGGTCAATTTCGAACAACAAGTGTAAAGTTAATTGGTCAACTTATGTCTTCCAAGTTTTAAGCTATTGGAGTAGCATTGAGACCTAAGGACATAATGGCATAGATGATGGTTTAGTGGGGAATACAATGCTTGTATGGTAAAGCCTAACAAGCGAAATAGTATGTAAAAAAGTTTGTTTTTGGTCCCTTAAATGAGTCATTCCAATTCCTACCCTCATATTTCCATATTTTGGAACATGAAAATCCTAATGTAGTCACAATAATGGCTACTGATGAGGCACAATAATTCAAATATTATTTTTGGGCATACAAGGCTTGTATTCGAGGGTTTAAGGCTATAATGCAATCTTTAGTTGCTATTGATGCCCCATACATGAAAAGCAGATTCAAAGGCGTTTTATTTGTTGCTGTCTGCAAAGACGTGAACAAGTTCGCATATCAGGTTGCATTTGACATTGGCCACGTTAAGGATGAAGAGTTGTGAACGTGGTTTATTACAAAATTGTGTCGTGCTATTAGTTGTCCTAAAAACACAATGTTTATTTTTCATTAGCATTTTGGCATTAAGAAAGCGGTTAGAAATGTGAATCGAGACGTGCACCATGAGTTATGTATTACCACTTCCAAAAAACTAAAAAAAAAAAAATTCAAGCGTGATGACTTTATAGCAATTTTCACCATTGCTTAAGACTGCTACAAGGTATTCGATTTCAATAGACATATGAACCAACTAAACAAATTCACGTGGATGCCCATGCCACCCTTGTAAGATCCAACATTGAGAAATGTGTTAACACGTGTCTGAAACATACAAAGACAAAGGCCAATCACCATTCTAATCAAGTTCATTGGAGACATATTCCAATGTTGGTTCTATGATCGACATGTGTAGGCCATTAATGTGAGTCGGACATCAGCCCTTGGAGTACCAAATAACTATAAACATAGTTCAATGAAGCACATCATTTTGAAGTTAATCCTATCGATCTAGTAGAGTTTCAAGTTAAAGACGAGAGGAAGGACGCAGTAGTAAACCTATCCATGAAAACATGTTCATGTCAAGAGTTCCAGACTGATTTCTACCTGCAGTTATGCCATTGTGGCAATAATGTAAAATGATCTATGTTTCTTATTTGATTTGTACAAATATCCATATTTTTTATTTACATTCACTATGATTTCATTGTCTTCGCAATAAGTGCAAACATGTAGTCGTTAAATTTTGCTCAAACTACTACAAGACTACCTTTTAAATGAATAGGTTATGTTGGGACCATTTGGCCAATTAGGCAACACAGTAACTAGGACATCCCCCTTGATGTGAAAGAAATTGTTGTTTTGTCACCACGTTAGTGAGGTCAAGTGAGAAAACCTAAAAGGAAAATGATCCATCGACTACAGAAGGCAATCGATCATAAAGATATTTACAATGCAAGAGGTACAATCATAATAAACAAATTGCCCAACATTGTTTACAGTTTTATCCACAAATTTGCCACCATTTTCAACTTAGTTGGCACCTGAACAATGATGACGACCAAAAGTATGTTCAACTTGTAGACAACCCGATCACACACACAACACCTATCCAATACAAATGACAAACCTTGAGAACGTATGGGGTCTTGTAGGCAAAGATAGTGGCTCCTCCTAACTACATGTGTTAGATGTTTTCAAAGAGTATGTAGGCTAAAAAAGGCCAGTTCAGTTGTTGATAATTTTTTACTTAATCAAAGTGGCTCATATGGTAAAAGATCCAAATTTAAAAAGTATCTCAATAATTCTAGTTTCTTTTTGCAACCAAAGTCCTTTTGCTTACAAGGAAAATTAAACAAATATGTGAGATAGAGTTAAAGAAAGCCATATGCAATTCCTTAAAGAAAACAAGTTATTGTTGATGGAAATAAGTAGACATCTTCAAATAACACTATATCATGGTCCAAAAAATAAAACCATATTCACCTCCATACGTAATCGTCCCACTATGAACAACACCCTTATGAGGATCCTAAACGGTTTTATAGAGATCTTGGATTATTTCATCTCAAAGAGATTGTACAGAGATTATTCCTCAATACTTAATTACCTGTGGCCAATGGAAACATCCATCATGGGGTCGAATTTCAATCCTGCCACGAGACAAAATTCACACTTGGAGAAGCATGCCTCGGTCTTGCCTATGACAAACCAAAACTCATGCTCCATTGCGTTAGGTTCATTGATTCTACGCAACATGATGCTGTACAGGAGACGAACACAAAAGATGGCTTATGGAAATATGTTCCACAACATCTCAAAACAAGTATCCTTCACTACATCATACTCCTTTATCTAGTGGAGCATGTTGCTTATGACTGCAGGCGCGACCACATGCATTAAGTGTTAATGGCGATGTGGAAGGCCTAGAAAAACAAACAAAGCTTCAAGGTTTCATCATCTATGGAAACCATGTACAACAAAAACAGTAATGCACATGTAAGCTACATGCCATGAATAATAATGTTGTTACATGCTATGCAAAACAAGTTAAATGTTGTTATGCCATGCCCATATTATCTCCATGTGTTAAACACCACTTTAACAACATTTGACCTAAATGGGCATGACGTCTAATATCTTTACAAATTTTTTTTTATTTTAAAGATAAAGATATTATTAAACAAATAAAAAAAGAATAGGTCTCTATACAAAAATAATTAAAGTATAGAAAAAACAACAAACAGAGTCAACAAAATGACCCAACCACAGGATGAGCAATCACAATAAAAAGAACCAACCTGGTCATAAAACAAAACAAAATAGTAAGAAAATACATTGCTAAAAACAACCAAGAGCACAAATCAGGAATAATAGAAAAAAAGCAACAATAGGAGAGGCAAAAAGATTCAATATGAACAAAAACAATGAGGCCCCCTCTTTTGCCAAGCAATCAACAATGTTGTTTATAGACCATGATGAAGTAACAAAATCAACAACTTTAAACATCATATGCCATTTAACAACATAATCAACAAAAAATATCATTCAAACATCAAAACCCACTCCATTTAACTACATTGTCAAGCAATAGGGCATTTAAACAATAAACCCACTCAAAAACACAACAAAAAATTCAACATTGATTGACTTACTTTGCTCTAAACTTATTCGAATACTTTGCTAACTTTGAGAATGAGGAATGAATCAAATGATCGTGTAATATAATTGGCGTGTAAAATACCTAGAGTTTAGGGTTTAGGAAAATAAAAAAGGAGAGGAAAATCTTGTCAAGGAATATAACTGGCGTGAAATGTTGTTGTGTGCTTGAATATGAGAAGGTTTCATTAAAAGTAGCTTTGTCTCTAAGATAAAACAATTAAAATGATGTGTAGTAAAATTTTTTTGAACATGGTATATAACAACAATATCTTTTTAATATGACATATAATAACTTTTTTTCAACATTGCATGTAATAAAACTATTTTGAATATGACGTGTAACAATATTTTTCAATATGGTGTATAATAAAATTTTTTCAATGTGACGTATAATAATATTTTTTTCAATATGATGTATAACAAAATTTTAGAACATGTGCTCTTAAAAATAAAAAAGTTTTATTAAGAGTAATTTTGTTCTAAAATTTTTTCTATTAACTAAAAATAATTAAAATTATCAAGAGGTTTATTTTTAAAAATACTTTATGTTTGAGAGCTATTTTTAAATTTTGTTTAAATGTAGATTACGTTGTTCTTTAGAAGTTTATAAGTCTACGCTGATATGGTTATGTGGTCATGGTTTTTGTTGCTTTGGGCTTTTAGTGTAGGAGAGAAAAGTGTTTTTCGGTTTAAAAAGAAAAAATAAATTGTTTGATTATTGATCAGTCATTGACTGCCAAGTGCACAAGAAAAAAGTTGTAAAATGACAGCCGCCACACCGTATCAAAACCCTGTTATCCCTCTCGAAACATTTTGCCACTCGAATATTCAGGCAGCAAATTCTCCCAAGACTTCCACCTCTCAACGGCATTAAACAAAACCGAGAAGGGCAAAAAAAAAAAAAGGGAAATTTTGTCCTAGCAAATAGCTTTCGAAAGGCCAAAACAGTGCGCACATTAAGAAAAGTCACCCACACGGCGCAAGATAGCAACTCCCGATGCATCCTACACCGTCTGTGTCCACTACGTCCCTTCCCTATCTTTGTCGACCCACCTTATCCTACGCATCGACACCCTCCTCTTTTTCCTCATTGGATTTCTCACGTCTGCTAGGGTTAGGTTTTTTCTTTTTTTATCTTTCGCCGTTTTTTACAAAATTCTTCCCCCATGCTCGTCGCGGAGTTAGGGTTTTGCTATTGGGGACTCTCTTCACTCTCTCTTCTTCATGGAATCAAGGCGCCAATCGAAGGATTCGTTGTCCTACGCCAATCTCTTCAATCTTGAGGTCTGTCACTTGGCTTTTGGATTCCTTTTCTCAATCGATTTTCTGTTTTTAGCTGGCTTTGATTTGTTGTTTCTAGGATTTTGTATCACTTATGATGAATTTGACTTCCTGGAGTAGTTAAATTGTGGTTTTAAGTAAGTTTCTTCTTTTTTGTTTTTTAATTTTTGTGTTTTCTTTTTTGGTTTGTTTTGTAGTCTTTGATGAAGTTCAAAGTTCCCCAACCTGATGATGATTTTGATTATTATGGGAATAGTAGTCAGGATGAGAGCAGAGGTAGCCAAGGTAGGTTTTTTGTTTTTCAACTGGAAATTAAGGGCTCCTTTGGATTTTATGCTTGTAATGCACCTTTTTTCTTTTCAATTGGTTTTGTTTGTACGTCTGGAGAATTGGTGGTTAAAATAGTTGGCTTTAAATATTCTTTTTTTAACTAAATTGTTGTGCATTGTTTTTCACAATGATGGGCTTTCAATAGGTGGAGCAATGGTGAACCATGGTAATGGAACTATGTCTGAGAGGGAATTGAGTTTGGCGAAGCGAAAGCGGAGGGGGGCTTTGAATAGTGACGAGGAAGACGAAGATTATCAAGGCACTCGTATTACAGAGGAGCGGTATCGATCAATGCTTGGAGAACACATACAGAAGTACAAAAGGAGGTTCAAGGATACCTCTTTGAGTCAGGCGCCTCCTCGAGTGGGTATTCCAACACCGAAGAGCAATTTAGGTGGTTCAAAAATGAGGAAATTGGGGAATGAGCAGCGAGCAGGATTCTATGATATGGAGACCACATCTGAATGGATGAATGATGCTAGTCCTCAGAGGCTTGCAAACTATCACGAAGCAGATCTTGTACCCAAGTATGGCATTGTTTGATTTAATCTTTCCTGTGGTTGCTACACAATGTAGTATCGGAATATATGAGTTTTTAAGTTCTCTTTTGTGTTTTTCATATTCATAGAACTTGTTGGAATAATCAACAATTCTTATTAACGTATGATCTGCAGAATCATGTATGAACCTGCTTATTTGGATATTGGGGAGGGCATCACTTATAAGATCCCTCCAACTTATGATAAGCTGGCAGTGTCATTGAACTTGCCGAGCTTCTCAGATGTCCGGGTGGAGGAGTTTTACCTAAAGGGTACTTTAGATTTGGGGTCTTTAGCAGCGATGATGGATAATGATAAAAGATTTGGGCCTCGAAGCCGAGCATGGATGGGAGAGCCTCGGCCCCAATATGAATCACTTCAGGCCAGATTGAAGGCTTTGGCAGCTTCAAACTCAACTCAGAAATTCACCCTCAAGGTATCTGAAAGTGCATTGAATTCCTCAGTTCCTGAGGGGGCTGCTGGAAATATACAACGGTCTATTTTGTCAGAGGGTGGTGTATTGCAGGTTTACTATGTCAAAGTTTTAGAGAAAGGTGACACGTATGAGGTTAGTTCAATTAAAATTATGATGGTCTTCTTTTTATTTAATTGGTGATGGCGCTTTTCTTAAACTTCCTCATTGACTGTGTCTGGCTGCAGATAATTGAACGAAGCTTACCAAAGAAACCTAAAGTGAAGAAAGACCCTTCTGTAATTGAGAGGGAGGAAATGGAGAAAATTGGCAAAGTTTGGGTTAACATTGTCAGAAGGGACATACCAAAGCATCATAGGATTTTCACTACTTTTCACCGAAAGCAACTAATTGATTCAAAGAGGTTTGCAGAAAACTGTCAGAGAGAGGTATGTATATTGTTCTGTGACCTCTACGTTAGTATCTTGTTATACCTTTTTTGATCCATAGACTGTAGGGCTTTTGTCATCTTGTATCTTGAAGCTTTAGTGACGATCAAATTTTTGTACCAGGTGAAAATGAAGGTGAGTAAATCACTTAAATTTATGAGGGGTGCTGCATTTCGCACAAGGAAATTGGCTAGAGATATGCTGTTGTTTTGGAAGCGGGTCGACAAGGAGATGGTATGCTTCTTCTTCCTTTTTGAAGTTCATTAAGTATCTATTTGAAGCTTCTGAGAATTGCATGTGCTCTCACAGAGGTACATCAATGGAGTATCAAGTGATATATATAAGTAGCCATGTTCTGTGCGCTGTGAATGTGCTGCAAACTTTAAGAATTTTGACATGATTTATTTCTTAATTGCTTGCCTGGATGATTTTTGAATAAGGATGACCTAGAGTACACCAAATATTAGGAATGGAAATATGATATGGCTTATTGGATGGTTCGTATTGATGTGCCAGATATGAAGGAGGGTGATTGCATCGGGTATTGTTAGCCACAAATTTTGTACTATAAGCTTTACTTGATTACTGAAACAATCGGTGGATGAGTTCTTTTTGCATCATTATTGGACACTTTTGCTTTTTGCAATTTTTGGTAGAACCTGCTGTTATGTTAATTTACTATCCTTGTAGGCAGAAGTGAGGAAAAAGGAGGAAAGAGAAGCTGCAGAAGCTTTAAGGCGTGAACAGGAGCTTCGAGAACAAAAGAGGACAGAGCAAAGGCTCAATTTTCTTATACAACAAACAGAACTTTATAGTCACTTTATGCAGAACAAGGCAAATTCACAGCCCTCTGAAGCCTTGCCAGCAGCGGATGAAGACCCAAATGATGATAAAGAAGAAGAAGATGATACTGGGCCCAGTGGAGAAGAAGATCCCGAGGAGGCTGAATTGAAAAAGGAGGCTCTAAGAGCTGCTCAAGACGCTGTATCTAAACAGAAAAAGTTGACTAGTGCTTTTGATACCGAATGTTTGAAGTTGCGTCAATCTGCCGAAACTGAGATGCCTTTAGAAGATAGTTCAGTTGCAGGGTCTAGCAATATAGATCTGCATAACCCGTAAGTTTTCTTTTGTTTGGATCTTTTGGATAAAACTACAGTTGGAGGTGATTTTTTTACTCTAAAGATTTTTATCCCTTTTCACTGAACTTATGGACTTGGGACTGCCAAATTGTGCAGCTCTACTATGCCTGTCACCTCAACAGTTCAGACACCGGAGATGTTTAAAGGTTCCCTCAAGGGATATCAGTTAAAGGGCCTTCAGTGGCTTGTTAATTGTTATGAGCAGGTTGTAAGGCAATCTCCAGCTGAATAGCCTTTTAGTAATAATTAAAAAGACAATTTTCTTAACTTCTTTCCTTTTTTTCATATGATTGTAAGATGGAAGGTCCTTTATTCTCTTTCAGGGATTAAATGGTATACTTGCTGATGAAATGGGCTTGGGAAAAACTATTCAGGCAATGGCGTTCTTGGCTCATTTGGCTGAGGTAATTACTATAGTTGGTGTTTTATGTGCAGAAAATGTCCTTATCCTAACTAGGATTGCTTGTCTTACACAGGAGAAAAATATATGGGGTCCTTTTCTTGTTGTTGCACCTGCTTCTGTCTTGAATAACTGGGCTGATGAGATTAGTCGTTTCTGTCCTGACCTGAAAACTCTTCCATATTGGGGTGGACTTCAGGAGCGGATGATTCTTAGAAAGAACATCAACCCAAAGCGCCTTTATCGAAGGTAGTCTACCTTTGTTTGCGATGTTTATTTTACTTTAATAAAATGTGAAACATTGTAAGTTGATGCTTAAATACCATATGGCTAATGGCTACTTGTAATCTGAAATTTGATGTCTATATTCTTTTAGGTTGTTAAATTTTATTGAATTTGATATACTAAGCAATATTATATCTTTTGGTGTTGCCAGAAATCTACCAAATTTTAGAGTGATGTGGCTTTTAGCACTCAAGCACCTTGCTTGGAGTGAGGATTTACATGCTAAATGTATTTTGGCTGGGGACCATTTACTGCCCATAAAGTTTTCTTGCATCTTCTTTTTGATTATACGTTATAGAGTTACATTAACATGTTCTTTTTAAAACTTTACATTAACATGTTATTAAGGGCAAAAATGAACAATAGAATGAATGATGCATATTACTGGCATATAAAGACTAGAAGTAACTTGAGAGTTTTTGAATCCTAGTTTTTTTTTTTTAAATTGTATCTCAAGTCATTTTCTTGATACTTATGGAGTTGGAATTGTTTCAGAATGGCTACTTCTCTTTCTCTCTTGCATGCCTAATATTGTTTGTTTAAATATTAATTATTTCTTTCTTTTCAGGGAGGCTGGATTTCATATTCTAATTACCAGCTATCAACTGCTAGTGTCTGATGAGAAATATTTTCGACGTGTGAAATGGCAATACATGGTATTAGATGAAGCACAGGCAATCAAGAGTTCAAGCAGGTTCTTACATTTGTCTTTAAACCTGTTTAGGTCCTCAAATTTATGAGCTTTAATCCTTATAATGATTTCTATTTTGGAAAATATTTAAAGAGTGAGTTCTTCTGCATATAAAATGTCTTGTTGACTGCTGGCAATTTCACTGTATTGGATTCCTCCATTTTTGTTTCAGTTAGTTTCTGGGAAGTATGGCATTATTACATGTAGTGATATTGATGTTATTCTCTATTTTTTTAAATGCAATATATTAATGTTATTTAGTATAGAAATTAGAAGTATTGTTTTGGTGAAAGATAGTTAATAGTTGAAGAGCTTTATAGTTCTACTTGAATTCGAACTTATAAATAGCCTTTCCTTTTCTTTTGTGGTTTATCTTTGTGTCTGTTGCAGCAGTGGATTATCCGCTTTCTGGTTTAGGAATCTTATATGTTCATTTACATGCAAAGCTTGCAGAATACATTACTGCTTCTTGGTTGTATCGGTGGTATTCCATTGTTTGTGTGCTATAAATATTGAATGCAAAGCTTTTAGAATACATTATACATGTCAGTTGCATCATTGGTTTTCCATTTTTTGTATGCTAAAAATTGGTTCTATTGGTCTTTTAACAGTTGCATCTCTGGTTTTCCATTTTTTTCTTTCAACTACTTTAATCTTGTATACTCAGTTGTATCTGACATTCTGAGTGGGTTTTGATGTGCAGTATAAGGTGGAAGACACTGCTAAGTTTCAACTGTCGGAACCGCTTGCTTCTGACTGGTACACCTATCCAGAATAACATGGCAGAATTATGGGCCCTTCTGCATTTCATCATGCCAACCTTATTTGACAGCCATGAACAGTTCAATGAATGGTTTTCTAAAGGGTATGTGTTCCTTATGCTAGCCCAGTACTCACCATGGACACATTTAACCATAAAACATTTCTTTATTAATTGTATCTCTTCTTATATCATCAGAATTGAGAATCATGCTGAACATGGGGGTACTTTGAATGAGCACCAGCTTAACAGATTGGTGAGTATTCCTTTCTTGCTAGTTTTGCTATGAGGATAATTAGGAAGTTGTATGTGTAAGAAATAAAAAATTTCTCTTGCATTTAAGATAGTTTGGTATATCTAGCTACGGAAACTGCTATATGTTTTTCTGATAAAAGGGAATATAAGTTTTTGGCCCTATTGGATTGGTATTTCTTAATGGTATATTCTTTCCTCTCCCCTTGGCAGCATGCAATTTTGAAGCCCTTTATGCTACGACGAGTAAAGAAAGATGTGATTTCGGAGTTGACTAGGAAAACAGAGATCACAGTTCACTGCAAGTTGAGTTCCCGGCAGCAAGCATTCTATCAAGCTATTAAGAATAAGATATCTCTGGCCGAGTTGTTTGATAGCAATCGTGGACATCTTAATGAAAAGAAAATTCTGAATTTGATGAATATTGTTATTCAGCTGAGAAAGGTAAGCTATTGATTTCTTTAGTTACTTGTTATCCCCTCCTCATATGATAAAACAAGTTGAGCAAAACATGGATCTCTGTCCATTATATTGTGTGAAGCTGGTTCTTTTTGTTTTAGAAGTTTTGGATTTTTTTGAGAACTTTTATTTATATAATGGAAGGTGTGTAACCATCCGGAGTTATTTGAAAGAAATGAAGGAAGCACATACCTCTATTTTGGAGAGATTCCAAATTCTCTTCTGCCTCCTCCGTTTGGGGAGTTGGAGGATGTACACTATGCAGGGGGTCATAATCCCATATCCTACAAGGTACTTCTGTTAAATGATCTGTAGCTTTGATCATAAAAAGTTATGTTTTTTTTAGTGCTTCTACCATCATAAACTTCTCTCTTTTTTTGTTCACCAGGTACCAAAACTTCTCCAACGAGAGGTTCTACAAAGTTCTGAAACACTATGCTCAGCTGTTGCTCATGGAGTTTACCAAGAATTGTTTTACAAATACTTTAATGTATTCTCCAAAGAAAATGTTTATCAATCTATTTTTCAACAAGAGAGTAGCTCAAATGGGTTGTCTGTCAGAAGTGGGACATTTGGTTTTACACATTTGATGAATTTGTCTCCCACAGAGGTTGCATTTCTTGGAGCTGGTTCTTTTATGGAGAGACTCATGTTTTCTATTTCAAGATGGGACGACCAATTTTTGGATGGAATTTTAGACTCCCTAATGGAGGTATTGGATGATGACTTCAATTCCAGTTACCTTGAGAGTGAAACAGTCAGAGGTGTTACAAGGATGTTGTTAATGCCATCAAGATCTGAGACCAATTCGCTTAGAAGAAGATTTGCAACAGGTCCTGGTGACAATCCATTTGAGGCTTTGGTTGTGTCTCATCAGGATAGGCTGCTATCCAACACTAAACTTCTCCATTCGACACACACTTTCATCCCACGAACTAGAGCTCCCCCGGTATGATCTCACTTTTTATTTCATCTGTTTTTATGTATTATGGGGGACAGCTTAAACTAGAATCAGATAGTTACTTACTGTTCTTATCTTCTCGATAGATTTTTTCCCAATGCTCGGATAGAAATTTTGCTTACAGAATGACTGAAGAACTACATCACCCTTGGGTTAAGAGGTTGTTGATTGGGTTTGCTCGTACATCTGAGTTTAATGGGCCCAGAATGCCAGATGCTCCTCATAGTTTAATTCAAGAAATTGATTGTGAACTACCTGTGGCACAGCCTGCCCTTCAGCTTACATATAAGATATTTGGTTCTTGCCCACCCATTCAAAGTTTTGACCCTGCAAAGTTGCTAACAGTAAGAATATTTCTTGTTCACTTTGTAGTTTCTCTATTGGGCTTCAATATTTATTTATGTTTACATTACAGTTAACTTCTATTATTTTCTCATTAGGATTCTGGGAAGCTTCAGACTCTTGATATATTGTTGAAACGCCTGCGGGCAGAAAACCACCGTGTTCTCCTGTTTGCACAAATGACAAAAATGCTGAATATTTTGGAGGTCTATATTGCCTGTTTCTCCTTAACCTTTATCTTATTCCCTATGTTTGACTGTTCTGTTTCAAACTTGATTTATAGATTTAACATAAAACCATTCATATCAAGCTTTTGAATGTTGATTATGTCATAGAGTGGATGGGTCAAAAATTAAGATTAGACATGTAATAAAACAGAAGCATTTGAAAACACTCTTAGACAGTGTATACTGTACTATTTGTGACGCATAATGGAGTGCAATCGCAAAGTGTAACCATTATCATTGCTTGTATGCTTTGGAATGAAAAATGGGTGTTTTATTTCTAAACATACAAAAATCAGATTTTATCTTAACCACAAAGTCTCAATCTACAATAAAAGAATTAGTGTTGTTTATTGATTGTTTTATACTGATGGACTGCTTTGGGTTTTGATACTTTTGTCTGCATCTGCAAAATATTGGGCTGACTGTTTGTATATTTTTGCAGGACTATATGAACTATAGAAAATATAGGTACTTGAGACTTGATGGGTCTTCCACCATTATGGATCGACGAGACATGGTCAGAGACTTTCAGCTCCGGTAGGGATTTCATTCACATCTGACTCATCTAAAAGGCTTTCAGTAGTCTGTCTTTTTGTCTTATCTCCTGTAATGAAGCAATAAAAATAAAATCTTTCACTTTTTTTTTTCTATTGCAGGAATGACATTTTTGTATTCTTGCTGAGTACCAGAGCTGGTGGACTGGGTATAAACTTGACAGCCGCAGACACTGTAATCTTTTATGAAAGTGATTGGAATCCGACCTTGGATTTGCAAGCCATGGACAGAGCTCACCGTTTAGGGCAGACAAAGGATGTAGGTTCCTACTTCTTACTCTATAGTATCATTGTGTGTGAATGACTGGATGTCACCAAATTTGTTTCATGGTTTGCTTATGTTGTGTATAACTTTCTCACTCGCAATTCTGTACACAATTTCCATTTTTTTTCTAATATATAATCGATTATTTTTAAAATTTCAAACAGTTTTTTGAGCAAGTAGTAGTGAGTTTAATTTTCAAAGTTATTGGATTTTTTAGTTTAAAATTTAACACCAATTTTACATGTGTAGGTTACTGTCTACCGGCTCATTTGTAAGGAAACGGTTGAGGAGAAGATTTTGCAGAGAGCAAGTCAGAAAAGTACTGTGCAACAGCTTGTCATGACAGGTGGCCATGTTCAGGGAGATCTCTTGGCTCCTGAGGACGTTGTATCTTTACTTCTAGATGATGCACAGCTGGAGCAGAAATTAAGAGAAATTCCACTGCAGGTAAGATTTAACTCTGATAAGTGTATAAGTTCTTTTTTCCAGCAGCAAAAGAGGTCTTAGAACTGCTTATAGCGTCTATACTCGTTTTATGTTTGATGCTCCCTCAAGGCTAAGGATAGAATAAAGAAAAAACAACCAACGAAGGGCATACGGCTAGATGCGGAAGGTGATGCATCTCTGGAAGACTTAACAAGTACTGGAACTCAGGGTACTGGGGCTGAGCCATCTGCAGATCCAGAAAAAGCCAAATCTAGTAATAAAAAGGTACTAAAGCTCATAAAACTCATCTAGATTCCAATTATGATGGAAATACCTGTCATGTTGTTTTACAAGAATAATGAAGGTTTATATTAGAGAAATTCCAGGATATTTTTAATAAAACAAAATACAAAAGAAGAAGAGCTATGCAAAGACTTAGGACTTAATCTGCGTATATTTTATGCTTAAATGTTGCATGGTCCTATTGGTTTGTCTTATTATGTTAGTTGTTGGAAAGAATTATTTTATCTTAATTATTATTTCTGGATGATACTTGAGCCCCACTTTTCCAAACCAATGAAAAACTAGGATCCTCTTTGAAGGTGGTTGTGTCCTGCAATTTGCTTTTAGTGGTGCTGACCATGAGAAATTGAGCATGAACCTCCTTAAGCAAGACTTTGTGTGTGTTAACAATTTTATATACATAAATGTATGTGCAGAGGAAAAGTGCTTCTGATAGGCAAACTTCTGCGAAGCAAAGAAATTCTCAGAAAATGAGTGAAGCTAGCCCAATGTACAATGATTTGGATGATATCCTTCAAGATGATGACTTGCAATCACAGAGACCCAAGAGACCTAAGAGGCCAAAGAAGAGTGTAAATGAAAACCTAGAGCCAGCAATAACTACTGCATCCGCATCAGTTTCAGAGCAGGTCCAGTATCCACCTGGGCACGAGTTTGGTCCTGGTGGTTTTAGGACTGAAATGGAGCATAGTAATATATTAACGTGATAGGTCCCTGATCTATTGTTGGATGGTTGTGGAGGTCATTTCGAGTAAGATTGACAGGCGCCCAGTCATCCTTTTATTCTGTTCCTGTATTGACTGAAAATTGCTGGAACAGGAGGGGTATAGGACATGTTGAATGGCATAATAGTATGTATATATGATTTTTTTGGGGGGGTGGTATGGGAGGAAATTTTTTTAGATTTTGTGGTAATTACATTAGAAAATTTGGGTAAATAGAGGTGGGATAGTATATATTTACATGCTGTAACCAACCCCAGTCTACTATCGGTAAATGTTTGAGGAATTTACTGAGCAATGTAATTTATGTTGCCATCACTCAATTTTTGGTGGGATCATGTCATGTGTTCTTAAATAAAGACTTGCATGTGCATTTTTTTAACCGTCACCCAGTTGTCCAAAGCCAACCAACGAAACAAATTCAGGGCGAAACCATATAAGCATCACCAGGTGCAACCACTACTTACGCAAACTACTTTCGAAATGAAAGTAATTAGTCACAACAGTGAATATAAGACCAGTTTTGTAGTTTAAAAGGAAATAGTTGTGCCCTGGAAAAAGAACAGAAGAAAATAGTCCACAGTGGTTTAAAAGGGTTTCAAATCACTAGATTTTCAAAGGGCAGAATACGTCACGAACTTAGAGCCTTAGAGCTTGAGCATGGTGGCGTATGTGATCATCAATGAAGGTGGAAATGAAGAAGTAGGAGTGATCATAACCAGGCTGCAATCGCAATAGTAGTGGAGCATTAACACTCCTACACGCCTCTTCAAACTTGTGTGCCAGAAGTTGATCATGTAAGAATTTGTCATCCTCCCCCTGCATTTTAAAATTAGCAAATTAACAGATAAGCAACCGCGCATGTACACAACAATGAGGGTGGGAACAGCAAACCTAATTCACTTGAAAGGATTTCCTTCCCCTTTCATTTCCTCAACTGAAAATGAAATACCTAAAGGATGGTTCATAGATCCTTGTGGTAGTACTATTCATCTTTGAATTTTGATTACTAGTTTCCAATTGCTGTCTAAATTGCAAGGTTTCCTTGCATTAAAGGATTGTGTGAACATCCTAATAGAAAGTAACCACTGAAATTATCTTTAGACAAAACTGAAGGAAACAAAATCCTTCTAAAATTCTCTAAATAACCAACAATAAGTAGGTAGAGAGAGAGTAGTAATATGTTAAAATTAAGTGCTGTCATAACTTAAGAACTTATTAAACGCTCTTCAAGATGAAAGAAAAATAAGACATCTACGCTACTTTCCATAAAAAAAATTATTAAAAAAAAAAGTGGGGAAGGGGGGTAAGAAAGAAAGAAACAAGAGAGTTTCAAAGAGACAAAATTGTCTCATGTTGGGTGAAATTTAAATAAGAGACATTCTGATCTTACCTGATCAATTAAAATGGTAGCAGATACATCATGAAACTTTGTGATCAGGAAAGTGGCATCATATTCCTGCATTTCTTAGATTTATTAATCTCCACTAAGGTGTAAAATTCAGGTAAAAATGAAGGGCATTCATCAGTCACTTGGCACTTTACCTCCCAGGCAGCTTTGTCATTACCAAGATAGTTTGTGAACGCCTTCTGACCCCAGGGACAATTTATAGGATTGGCAATGGGTGCAAAGGCAGACACTGACTGCAAAATATAAGCATTAAGGAATGGAGAAAAGTAAGTAACTGAGGACAAAGGTGAATACATATGTAGTTATCCTCTGGAGGAAAAAATTAGAAATTCTGAGAACTCATTAACTATATAAATTAGAATCTTAAAGAGCATGAGGAGCAAATACAACTGTCAACTACCTTATACTTATCAAGGTTTTTCAGATAGATTGTCAGAGCACCATGGCCACCCATAGAATGACCAGAAATAGATGATTTTGATGTATCAAGTTGAGGGAAATTTTCACTCAGGAGTTTTGGCAGTTCTTTGACAACATAATCATACATACGCCAATTCTTCCACTTCTCTTGTGTAGCATTAAGATAAAATCCAGCACCTAATTTAAATTTGAAAATGCAAAAACAGAAATAGAGAAGGAAAAGGGACAAAACTCAGTCAGATAAAGATCTGATTTTGGTATATTTATTTGCAACTATTCATATGAAATAGTGTAAGGAAATTATCTAGCAATGCTCCATTGAAATTTAACAATGTTTCCCACAGAGTAGTGATACTGGGGGCAGGGAAGAGAAGACTAATCAGGATTGCATTCGAAAGCATTGGAAAGAAGCATTCTTTCATTGAACAAGGGCTAGTGTGGGTGAGTTAGAGCCACACTCCTTGATACCTTCAGTACATGTTAAACTCAATGAACATGTGTTACATTAGTGTTGGTGGATCAAATAAAAATAAAAACAACAAACTGGTTGTGAAATTAATAAACACTTATATCTTTTGATCAGCAAAAATATTTTGCAAGCATATTTGTCCAAGTGGGATTGTCCTTCCAACGTTGTGCATCATTAATAATCATTATGCACTTAAAATTCAATTTGTTGATGGAAAAATTCCATGAAAATGAAACAGGAAGAAAGAATGATAAAATTAAAGACAATAAAATGAAAATTTCCAGTCAAGCTTGTAACATGGAACTGAATTGCCAGGTTATTTACTCCGGGAAGGGACCTCAAGCATTAAAGTTACAAGAGATAAAACAATTTGATACTGGGTATACATGTTTAAAATTTACCATAACAGGTGTCCCAGAAATAAAATTTAACAATCCAAATGTTGCATACCTACACCGAAATCCCAGCTGTCTGCCTCTCCTTCCACATTCAGACCTCCTATAATTTAAACAAAGAAGAAAATCAGCCCTGTACAATTTCAAAACAAAAATGGTATTTTGGAGAAGAGTAATTTATATTCATATCCTATGTTAATCATAATTTATATTATGAAGAACAATGACTTCTGGTTAAAAACATGTGTTCATGAAACAGTATTGGATAAACTGAGGAAACAACTTGAGGCCTGTTCAAGTAGGCTCTCAAAAAGAAATATACTACTATTTTTCATAATTAAAAAAAAAGAAAAAGATATTTTGGGTCAGGATACTGAAGTTGAACCGGGTCAGAGTCCCTCAATAAAGGGGAGAAATGAAGTGCAGGAAAACAATCCAGTCAATAATCTTTAACTCAGACAGTCAGCAATGAAAGTATCAAGCCAGCAAAATTATTTCAATAAACTAGCTTAAAATGGGCTCACTACTTACTTGGGGATGTATCAGGCGCAATTAGAGCAACACCCTCAGCTGAAGCAGCACGCTGTGCTCCGGACTTGATTATGAAATTCTCATCAATGCAAGTAAGTCCAGAGAGCCAGTAAAGTATCTGCCCAAAGATGAATGCAAGACTTATCGGTTTGAAAAGATCTTATAAAATCAAACATATCAGAATATATACTAATTCGCAAAAAATAAGAAGCAAAAATAACAACCCAAGGTAGTCTAACTGAAAGAAATAAAGAAGATTTACCAAAAAAAAAAAAATCAAAGAAAAAACAAAGAACATCGAAATATAAGCACACGGCCAGAAAAATGAACGCAGCATTGCTAGCCAAGTAAAACTATGAAACTAACTAGATGGACTAAAGAGAACCTACGCAAACGAGCAAGTAGATCAATATGCAAAATTGCTATGCAGGGTATTCAAGATCGAAGAACAAAACCAATTGGTCATCTACCCGTCTCCCTAAATCCATGTCTTTTCAAAATCAAAACTTGATAAAGCAAACAAACCCAGTTGCCATCCTGAAATTCATTTCAACCCATCTGCTCGTATCTATTAAAACTCCAGAAAGAAAACTTCATCATTTACATTGAAAACAATAAAATGGAAGACCTTTATTCAAAATCGAAGATCAAGACCGCCATAGAATTGTCAATGAAGATAAAAAAGTGGAAAAGGGACGGGACATACAGGGAATTTGTGTGAAGGAGAAGGAGAAGGAGGGAGGTAGATATAGAAAGTCATGGAACATCCAAGGGTTGGACTGTAATGCTTGTATCTCTTGTTGTACCCTCCAAACATCTTCGAACTGCCAATCTCTGTTGGTTTCATCTCCATCTTCTTCACTCTCTGTTTCTCTCAACTCTCAGAAAATGTGTCTGATTCGGTGGTTCTTGATTCTGCTTTATCAAGCACTCAGCTGAGTAAGTACATAGGTGGTGACCATCAATTGCAAAGCTTACAAAGTTTGGCCCAGCAAGAGCCTAGAGGCTTCGTGTCCATAATTGCTTGCATTTTACCCTTTGTCCTTTATCTTTATCTTTATTTTTATTTTTATTTTTCATTTCTGGATATTTGGGTGAATAATATAGTACCAGAATACAGGCATGGCTGGATTCGTATCCCCAAGAGGGTGGATGAGCCAGAAGGACAAAATTTGTGGTTTAGATCATATTTGACTTGAAAGCTTTTAAAACTTGTTAGTTGTTTTTTAAAATATAAATTGAAAATTTTATATATTTGATGATTGTTGTACTAATTATTTTAAATAATAAATTTTTCAAAAAAAGATTATTCAACCAAATAATAATAAATAAAGAAGAAAAAAAAATTATAACTAGTAAGGTTTCATCCTTCTTTTCTCATTATTTTATTCTTCTTTCATCATTGTTTCTTATATGGTTTCTTTTGCCAAAAATATAAAATATTTTAGTCACATTAAAAATAACAGGTTCATTGACTAAATGTATATGCTTAATAATTATCTTCTTAAATCATTCTAAACTAGGTGACACAATCGAAGATAACCCTCCCATCTAGACTAAAACCCGAATAAGCCCTCCATTTACAACCTGAAAACCCGAAAAAGACCCTTCATCTCAAACAAAATACCTAAAACAATCTTGACATTATAAAATTACCAAACATCTTTTGCCTGCAAACCCCAATCTGTTCTCGTGAAATTCCCAAAAGACCAAAGATAAATTTTAGACATAGCTTAGGAGTGAGCAAAAGTTGGTTCGATCGGTTTCGGTTCGATTTTTGACAAAATCAATAAAAAAAATTTTAAAATTCTAATCGATCGAACTGTATAGGACGTAAAATTTATTTTGATCAAGTTTTAGAAGTATTAGCTCAGTCGGTTTTTTAAGGTGAGTTGACTTCAATTTGGTGGTTACTGGTTTCGGTAGAAGTATAAGAGAGAGTTAGGGAGAGGCGGAAAGAGGGGGAAATTAGGTTGGGGACAAGGGGAAACAATTGCAAGGGTATAGAGGATAAAGGCTGCTGTAGGGGGTTAATGAAGGGCACTTTTATCTTTTTATCCTCTTAAAAAAAATAATCGCTGGTTATTTGGTCGATTTTGGAAAGAAGGAGTCCCCCAACAACCGACAGAGGCCTATCAAAACAACCGACAGTTTAC